GGGGGCCGCGGGGATCACCGCTTGGCCCACCCCGTGCACCTCCCCCCCGCGTACTCTTGCGCCGCGGGCCGCGGTCGGCGATTTAGTAGCCCATTATATAAATATATCATATAAACTTCCAATAAAATACTAAATATTTATATACGTTACATACGTCCCATTTGATGCAATTTGACACAAACCTTACGAAATATAGAAAAACGTAAATAAATTCTAAGTCTTTTGTGGAAAATAAGAACCATGCTAACTGAGTGTTCTACAGGGCCACACGGCCCACCTTTCTTACTATTTGGAATGATAACGATACCTCGTGGCTTGTAAATCGCGTTTAAAGAGAAGCATTGCCTTGGCCCACCGGTGACCCGTGTGGCCTGAATGGATTCAATGGGTTTGGCCCACCCGTGCCCCCCATGGCCTGAATGAAAAGTCACTTTTTTTTAGTGGCGTTCAACGTGTTAACTTTAAAACACATATTAAGCTGCTTTCAGCTTGTACTAGAAAGTTAGTATTTATTTTCAAAAGCATTAGACAAATAGCAGATCAAAAAATTCTAAAAATTACTTATTACGTTTTGTGTCAGTCCATTCTAACTTACTGCATTACCATTTGGGGCGGCGCCCATAAAACAAATCTAAAAAGCTAGAGGTCGTTCAGCGAACGATTTTAAAGGTCTCAACTTTTCGGCCCTATTTATTCCCGACGTCTAAACTCTATGAAGAATGTAAGGTTCTATCAGTACGCTAGTTATTTATCGCTAATACTATACTTAAAAAACACTCTCTTTTGACGTACGTTCCCACCGTTTGACAAATTAAGAGAAGACATGATCTTATCCGTACAAGTAAAATATGTACAACATCATTTGCCAAAAGATTTTTTGATTTTCTTGGTCCGTATCAGTGAATAAAATATATCCATTAAATAAATATAATTGTAAAAAAATAGTAACTGTCTGGCTATTGAACCTGAATTATGAGGATACTGAGAATCTATTGGTTATAATTTCTTAGTTTTGTATTACATATTAGGTAGGTACCAGAATAGTGGATGGCAGTTTTGCCGAATCCGATCCCATTTTATTTTGAACACAGGGCTATCTCTGGTGCCAAAATATACTCAAAGTAAGTTCATCGTCTAAACTTACACAGTCGCACACTCTCGCAAAAATGTACACACTCACACGTACACAAGCCCGCACTCATCTAATGCACTCACATATTACACGCACTCGCACACACATCACAAGCACACACGCATACATCACACGCACTCACTCACACATTACACGCGCTGTCACATATTTTTATTTTGTTATCTTTTTTTTTCTTTTTTCTTTTTTATTATATAATTTGTTTCTACAGACATTGATTTATTCATCAGAAATTCGGGGGGTGGAGGCCTGGTGACCTAAAACACAGGGTATTCTAGTATAGGCTCCAGCCTCTACAAATTTTCCTATATACACTACTATTATTTAGTTAAAATTATTACAAATTTGCGGAGGAAATAAAGAATTTACTTACTTACTACTCGTTCTTCATTCTAGAGACAATGTTATGCCTATCTTGAATGCAGGTAATTTTAAGCAAAACTGTATCAATGTCATGGTTAGCAACAATTACAGGGTAAAAACACTGTCAATACTCTGTGCTTAAATGACATATTATGGCTTTCAAATTAATAGTTTACAAAAGCGAATCTGTATAGCTTAATGTCCATCGATTAACTGTAAGGAGCCCGTGCGTATACACACATACGCACGGGCTCCTTACAGTTAATCGATGGAAATGCGTATGATGGTTCAGAAACAAAATGATCTATTTTAAAGTATTTCACCTAGTTTCAGAATTCGAAATAGTTATTTGAATTCTGACTTTTTAATAGTGAATGAAGAAATGAAAATGTCGATTTTTTATACAGTTTTCATTGCGGTAATTGATTTTTTTAATCACATTTTTTTTATAGTCTGTATTTTTTGAAGACATTTTGAACAACTGTCTTCTAGTTGTTCTCGACAGTTTTGTCGATAAAATTGTGAAAGAAGGTAAAATTTTGCCAAAAATGTCTGAATAGTGCATGTACGATGTTATAATCATTACTAATTTCGTTATTGACTTCTTATTCTTATTTTGACAGTTTTACAACTACTCTCAAAGTAAATTTTTATTCATATAGGTACATAGAACAGGCGGAGTTAACTCACACACTGAACATATTATATATTTGATTATCTATTCATATATTCGCACAATAACGCACACACTCATAACCCTGCGCTATGAGTGTGTGCGTTATTGTGACATAGACAATTAGACAACCACAAATTACACCCAAACTCTCGATATTTACCCACGATAACTCTATATCGAATTAAAATGAAAAACTTTAAAACACGTCTCCTCTTTGCATTTTTAATAGACAATTGTAAATTCTAAACGAAGTGCTTGTGTCCTGTGCCCAGCAGTTGCCGATGCCGGGCCTGTGATGATTCAAATGACAGAAGTTCAGCTATTTATTTCATAAGCATTACCGACATTCAATCGACAGTGGGTAGAGTATTTTTAAACATTTAAACTCATTATCATTTTCATTTTCATTTAAAATTATTTAATTTCATTAAATTTATATTTCCTATTTTTATTATATCTCTTAATATTGTACGTCCATTGCTGTAATTATTTTAGTGGATAACTGTAATTGGCCTATCCAAAAAATGTAACATATGTTAAGGTTAGAATTGTACTAAGTATGGCTATTGTTATCCCAAATAAAATAAAATAAAAATAAATAAATTTACCGACTGCAATCACTAGCTGCGTACAAGCGAGCAACATTTTTGCGCAAAGAACTGTAATTAAAACTCCATCTTCAAAAAAGACAAACTATACAATGATAGCATCCCTATTTCCGGTAATTTAGGCGTACCATGTCGACAACCTTAGAGCATATAGGACTGGAGGCGTCATCGATAGGCAATCCCCTCTGTCAAGGTACAAGCACAAAACAGCTATCGCACAATAAACACTACTTTCAAATCGATGTTTTTTCATTTCCATTATCGCGTCAAGTACTCCACGAATGTCGTCTTGCGCTATATAAACTTACAAAAAAATCTCTGCTGCATCCAGTCTAGCTAAGGGTGGAATTACATTTCAAACATAAGCCTATTTTTTACATTAATTGCTAATTTTCTATTTTATGACATTTCTTTCACAATGATCACATTGATTCAGTTTATCGATTACATAAAAATATATGAAAACATTTGAACATTTGACAATAGCACGCCTATGAAGTTCCCTATTTACTAACAGGCAACTATAGACATAAAATGCAGTACTTCATGGACTCTGTTTTTTTCTTTCTAGAGAAGCGACGCGCTCCTTCAGCTCCTATTTTTATCGACAGATTACGTAATGTTCAAAAGTTTATTCAAATTAATTTCTCCGTCGTATTGTATATTAAATAATAATGTAATAAATTATAAATAATGAAAATAAATTGTAATTGTTTAATATAAATCATAAGAAATCATGCCGTACTGTAAGAAAAAAATAAAAAGTATATATACGAGTATATACATACAATACACATAAATAACAAAAGCGATAAAAATAACCAAATAGCTAACTGTCTTTATCCTACACAAGACATGCGCAAAGGACAGAAAGAGACGCGTTAGGTCAATTTCAATTTTCGAACCACAAGCGATTGAAATATTTAGATTTTGAACAAAGAAACTATAGAGTTGATTTAATGTTAATCTTATTTTCGAAATGACGTTTTATTAAATATTCGTAATAAATAACTAACAAAATATTGTTGTATTCGTTTTACTGTTTGGAGTTATCAATCAGAAGTCCGAAAATACATTTGCCCGAAGTAATGTTTGCTCGAAGTTTTGTAATCCCAAATGTACTTTTTAGGTTATTTTAGGAATATTACAAAACAAACTAACATTCTGTATAATAAGCAATCAAAATCCCCTGAAAGCATAACGGTTTTGTTATAAATCGGTATTCGAGATTATGTAACTTTGAGTTTACTTCTAGTTGGAATCTAGAAATTCGAATCATCGATACATTTTGTACGGCACGTCCTAACTACCAACAGAGAGACACAGCTATTTTCACATTTACAATATTTGTATGTACCTATATATCTGCACAACTCTTATTACGTGAAGTGAATTCGTATAAAATTCAACATAATAGTATAAAATTAATTAATATTGACATTGAGACTACTCCATCACTCTTGTGTTTAAGTAGTTTTCACTAGAAGCTAAACATGGTGCATTGTGTTATTTCCAGTAGAAGTTGAATATGGATAATTTTTGGGCTTTTAAATTGTAGCAAACAAAATTAAGCAACACTGCAATGTTGCTTTACAGTTTAAATTAAATGTTTTAGTTTTTTAAATATTTCTATACATGTCCCTACGTTTGTAGAGGTTAACTCCGGCCATACTTGTCATTGGCTCCAACGCTGACTGATATTTTTTCGCAGTTTTTGGATTAGTCTTTAGATTGTATTTATTGTCATCCATTTATTGGTAAGTCAATGGGCAATCTTCTCTGGCAAATACAAGTAAAACAACACCACTGATACACTACACACAAAATTGGAAAAAGAAATTCACTACATCCAGTCTAGCCAAGGGTGGAATTACATTTTTCAGATACGAATTAGATTAACCAGTACGTCATACATATCGACACCGTCACGTCGATACCTTTCCGTCTCTATTATATTCATGGGAATCGATTTATTGTTATAGGCCTATTATGTGTACGGATATGGCGTGAATGTGTGTTTTATCTGTGTATTTGTAAAAATGAGCTAGTGTTGTAGACTTTTGTTTGTGTGAGACCATAGTGACACAATTCAATTTTGCATTTGAGTGCACCTATAGCGCCTCCCGTCCTATATACTCTAAGTCGACAACAATAATACAATAAGTGGTTTTATTATATATTATATTAAATTTCGTCTTTACAGTTTACGGGTACGTCCGTCCACAAAACTACCACACGGGGTTAAGCGAGTACCAGGGTACCATATCTCGCGTGGCGTATGAATTAGTGCGAGACGACCGAATACCGCGGTACAAGGCCGCGAACGGTGGTAGAGCCACGTGGGGATACCCCCCAGAGGGCGTAAGACAACCTGAGTTGGAAGCTATACCTTTCGATGGTGAAAGACTCTACGATTAGGTTTTGGGAAAATTTTGACCTTGCATTAAATAAAATACACATTGAGGACAGAAACTGTCGTTTACTTTCCTTCGAAGTTTTAAACGTTATGAAAGAAATTATCTAGAGATATATTGTGTTGATTCGAATAAACGCAATCTTCACTTAATTTAGTGCCTCTATCACGAGTTTACTGTGAAAGTTGCTAGCGACCGCGTAAACTACTCCACAATTTTGTACCGCAAATTATACAATGCCCCTACGGTCACAAGAAGAAACAATATTTATGTACAATGTTATGTACACTAAAATTTTACGCGGATGCTGGCGATAACTGTCAGTGTAATCTCGTGGTAGAGGCACTGTATACCTCTATTTCGCTATACCTAAATAAACGAAATTCAGAACCAAGAACATTCACAGCAGCTAAGTACATGTTCCAAACAAAACACTATGAATAGTGATAGTATATCATATTCATTTTGTTATAATTATTAATAAAAAGATCGAACACTAAGAAAAAATTCCTTCGATCCGGCCGGATGCGAACCGACGTCTTCTAGCAAACCGTGCCCGACGCTGTGCCAACTAAGCCACGGAACGAACCAGCGGATCTCGCGAATTTTTGTATGTGCTCGTAGTCGTGTCTTTGTATCTGATTTTTCAACGACTTTTCAGCCGTAGCGCCATCTATGAGAAATGTATTAAAGTATTTCGTCACCCAGTTAGATACCTTTACAACTACCAGCCCCGGCTAGAGATGTCGCTGTTTTTAATTGTCGATGTACTTAAATTTTTTATGTGAAATTACTCCACTAGTTTGTTATAATTATTAATACAAAGACCGAATACTTAGAAAAAATTCCTTCGATCCGGCCGGATTGGAACTGACACGTCTTCTAGCATACCGTGCCAGACTCTATACCAACTAAGCGACGGAACGAACCAATGGAATTTCATTCATTTTGCGTTGACTCAGGACGCCTTCCGCTTACTATATTTATAATTATTACATTATTTAAGATAAAAACAAATTAAGTAAAATAAAAAAATCACTCACAAAGATCTTTAAACCATGTAGCCTGGCTTTTTATATTTTTAAAATTATGTATGGTAACCATAGTAACTATTTTATTCATCATAATATTGTTATTGCGTAGTCAGACCACTCTGTTGCTTATTAATCTACGATATTGAAATGGTGTGTCTTCACCGCATATCAGTGAAACGTAGCGCGCGTTTGGAACGCCGCATCTAGTACGCTAGTACATAGATATCGTTGACTAGAAGCGTCAAATTAGCCGCCCCTCATAAACTACGCCATAGTTTTTAACATTTGTAACACGAGAAAATTTACAAGAAATTTCAAAATTGGACAGGTCTAAACTAAAAACAATCACAATGTAATTGACAAGGAAAGAGACATCCGTCGGAACGGAATTAAATAAAATTTTTATATGTTTGCCGAGTTTGCGTAGAATAGTATGTAATCTGTGTTACATGTTTAATGGTAAGAAGGTATCTAGATATTTATTATCATTTGTTGGCATTTGGTGCTGAAAGAACTACTTCTGAGTCATCATGTCAACAAAGGGTTACTTGGATATTTGTCATATTGCCATTGTAGCAAGTATAATTTGAACGCTCATTTGTTGCCGGAAAATGTTCAGCAATAAGTCAATCAAAATATATTCTCACCACTGGCTGGCTTCTTTTGGGCGAACAAAGTACAGCACACAAGCAAGCGTACAAATAAAAAACTATAGGTGAATACGGTCAAAGACAATTTTTAAATAAATGAAATAAATTAAATGTCCAAGTACACTTCAGCTTTCCTCATTTGTTATTTTACCGCTTTGCTGTAAACTTTACGGGTCATATCACATCTACGAGTACAATTTTTTTTAACACTTGTTTGGTGTTTTTATTCATTTTTAAACACCTCCGATTAAAATGGCTCCACTATGAGTATGCTGTACTTTATAATTTACCAAATAAAATTTCATAAACCTTATCACAAAGGGAAAAAAATGGCGGGTTTTTGTAGTTATAGTTTTTTCACAAATTAATTTTTAACTAACTATTATTACGTTTTAAGTTTCTTAATCCTTTGTTGCTTGTTTAAGCTAATAGCTCTATAGCCAATGCTCAACAAATAAATAAATTATGTAGCACAATTTATATAAATATCACAATAAATTATTACAAAGGCCCTCTTTTTAGTTCTGAACCAAAATTCTATTGTCTGTGGTACTCGCTACTGAACTAAAAATTTTATTAAACTTTTAAACAGTTAAATAAGCGTTTCAAAAAAAGAACATCGTATTTTTGCTAATTAAAGGGGTCCCCCTAAACGCACATCTGTGTTCCTGAACAGAATAACGTCATTATATTTTAAAATTATTAAAATTTTATTTATTTTGTTAAATAGGTAATATCTTAAAATGTATTATATTATTATTTGTATATAATTATTTTACATACCAGGTACAAAGGCGTACCCTTTAGCAACAACATCTATTTAAAAAAAAAAAAATTAATATCAAAAATGACGCTACTCAAACGCTCTACTGCCTCCTGATTGGTTAAAATATAAACGATACTTCTTCTATCACACGCAAAATAGGCGCTTTGTTGTCGAGTTGCGGATACCAGCCCGTTGCACCAAGTACCAAGTACCAAGTACTTCTTCTATTCTATCTCTTTGGTTTTTTGTCTTGTAGCGTTTGTTTGCCTTTGTTATAAGTTTGTTGTCGTGGTTTGTTAAATATTGGGTGCGTTTCATTATTTTAACTTACTCGGAGGTGTTTTATAGTATTGTATTCAATCCTTACATATTTAGGTCTCAAAATCTCGTACTTATTACTTAGGCCAATTGGCAAAGTCTCGTGGCCTAAACCAACTCGACTTTAATGAGGGTTCATTACGCAATAATTGCATAAAATGCTACTAAACACCCCCGATAAAGACGGCCCTACTATCGCTATGAGCGCGAAAATATCTTTCCTGATTCTCGGTTTCCGTTACAATCTTTTACTTAATTTTGAACTAAGAATTCAAGATCATCAATGAAAATTACAATTAAAAACTGACATGACCGTACTTACTTAACTGTTCTATAACGAAACTTAATAACTTTTTGATAAAAAAAGCCGGCCTTAAAAGTTCGTTCGTTCAAATTACATCTATTTTGACAAGTTTTATTGAAATCGGTTAAATGGGATCAATACTGAGGTATCCTCTTTCCAATAAAAAAGAATCATCAAACTCGGTTCTCAAATACCACGTAATATGTACATAAAAAAAATCGCATCGCATTGAAAACCTCCTCCTTTTTTTAAGTCGGTTAAAAATTAAATTATGCACAATCGAATGTATAATGGAATTCATTAATAATAGTTATATCAACTAAAGAATTTTTTGTTGTAATTCGGTAAAACACGTGAGTTATATATTACTAAAATACAAAAGTTGATTAATATACTCGTTTTAAACAAATCATGACATAATTCGTGGTTCGGATTGTCCAGCTCACAGAAGGCGTTCATATTTGAGTCTTCTACATGATCTTTATTTAAAGGGAAACGCGGCTGCCATCAAAAAACATCGGTGCTTCTATTTTGGGAACGATATAGCAAAGTGCTATATGAAAAGATGAAATCGTCGTAAAGCAGTCGAGACCCTTCTAATCAAATGTCTGGCGAGTGGCGACGGGCTTCGTCACGCACGCAGGAAAAGCGACGCAATGACACCGATGTCACGCTACTGTCCCTCTTCCCGAGTATTTCTGACACACGCTCTTCGGGGACTAGCTGACACACTGCTTTTCGTAGAGAAATTAATATACTACGACCGTGTCTTGTCACCTTTCATGTGGAAACGTGACACTGCGTGAAACAAGTCTGATTGGTCTTTTGACTCATTGATTTCTTGCTACTCTATTCCTAAGATAGTAGATGGTAGTAATCAAGATGATTGTGAATTGCAACATCAATTTTTATCTGATCTCGATTATTAAGTTTAAAATTAGAAAATAACGATGGAATTAGCACGCCATAGTGCTTATTAATTGATGTATTGAATATGTTGTTATTTACGTCAAAGTGAGAAGCTGTATGTTACAAGTTATCGATGATCGAGATACAGTTTTTGAGTGGATTTACAGTTTATCTTATTCATTGTGCTGTGTTACAAAAAAATAATCTGCAGTCGTGAATTAATAGCAATCCACAAAGCGTCTTGTTAATGCATTTCCATTTTCGCATTTCTATTTCAGGAACTAAATGCATCGTAAATATCCGATACTTATTTCCCGCATTTGATACAGACACAAAGAGATCTTAAAAGCTGAAACCCCATATTGTATCGAGTAAACATTGACATAAAACAAGTTTTTGAACATTCTTTTTATCAAAGGATTCGAAAGTTTATTGTTCCCTTCTTTGTGGACGATTATTTTTACATTTCTCAGTATGATAACATTACGTGTTATGTCGTATTTATTTTGGTCACAAAAGTATGTAAGTACAAATGTAATAGAACTTTGAATATAAAGTCTTTGTAGAGGTAATAATTAAAGTCGAAAAAAATTAACTACGAAAATTATTTAAAAAAGAAACAATTTTTCTACTCTTGTACTTAAAGATAATTATTATTATTAAAGATAATTCTGAATTTTCTGAACCAAAATGCTTTATTGTCTATGGTACTCGCGATGAACAGAAAAATTCCATTTTTCAAAAACAGATCGTTCGAAAATTTTTGCTAAATAAAAAAGTCTTGTAATATACGTCACTGTGTCCCTGAACAGAATAACGTCGCTATATTTGTGAAATTATTATAGAATGATAGTTTCATATCAAACGAACTGTCACAAGTGAGGCAAAAATCAAATTCATGTAGGCCTGGTTTTAGTAGTAGATTAATTTTCGGTTTTAGTGTAGATTTATATAAAAATACAAGTTGAAACGCGTTACTTCCTTGTGGAATGTGATGTTAGTATCTATTTTATGTTTGTCTGACGTATTTTTCATTCATTTACCGCACATTTCGTCATTTTTAGCTAAAATTTTTGAGCTGGTCGCGGTGCAAGTTGACCT